TGGCGATAATAAAATCGGAGATAAAGGGGCGCAATATCTTGCCAATGCTCTAATAAAGAATACGGTAGAACACCATTCTCTACTCATTTCACTCTTCATTGTCTCGACTTTTCACACAGACGCTTACCACACTCGAGGTTAACGGCAATAAAATTGGAGACAAAGGAGCACAACAGTTTGCCAATGCTCTCATAAAGAACACAGTGAAAGAACAATCTTCTCTACTCATTTCGTTCTTCATTGTCTCAACTTTTCGCATAGACACTCACCACACTGGACCTTAGCAACAATTTAATCGATGCCAAAGGGACACAACACCTCGCCAATGCTCTCATCAATAACACAGTGAAATACCATGGTCTACTCATTTTGCTCCTTCACGTCTCGACTTTTGACATAGACACTCACAAAACTGGTCCTGAATAATAATTCAATCAGAATTCAAGGGGCACATCACTTTGCCAATGCGCTTACCAAGAACACGGTAAAATAACATTCTCTACACACCTCGCTCTTCACTCCCAGCTTTTCACACAGACGCTCACGACACTTGAGGTTAACGGCAATGGAATCGGAGACGAAGGAGCACAATACATGGCCAATGGTCTCACGAAGAACATGGTAAAACACCATTTTCTACTAATTTCGCTCTTCGCTATTTGAAGTTTTTACAAAGGCTCTCACGACGCTCAAGCTTGGACAAAATACAATCGGACGACAAGGAAGAGACCGCGCAATAGAAATTCTGAAGGCAAATGATACGCTTCAAGTGTTCTGGTGATCAGCAATTGTTACGGTTTCAGACGTCTGTATTCACATATTTGTGCCGAAACTACATTGTTAGAGAATGCTCTTTCTTGAGGAAAGAATTTTACGTGACATTTTGACATGGAATCTTTTTATTATATGTCTTCATCATATGCTGGATGAGTCAATTGAGATAGTTAAAGGCTATTTGCTCAGACGAATTTATTCAGAATTAGGTGTTCACATTCTTTCGATGTGGCTCTTAACATTGTCTACTCCCTATTGACTGAGTGTGGCCAGGTCATGAAAAATATTTTTAAAAACACCTATGAAAGATTATCACATGTATATGTATGGAGAATCGATGTGTGTGCTCGAGTTTTGAGGAGTTCAGCTTTATACGATCTATCGTGTACAGAAAGTACACTTTCACAGCTATCTAAGATATTTAGTATGCAGAATATACCGTTGAAGACTAAATGTTTCATCGATAAGTCGCTCGTAGGTTGGAAAAAATAATTGTCCGTCATCTTAACCTCTTCAGGTTTATATCAAGAATAGCGTGGAATGAAGAAAGAACATGTACTGTATTGAGAGCATGTTTGGATTCTCGGACGATCTGGTTGTCATCAATGTTGAAAAGGGTCTCAATTGAATACGAAACTGTTGGAGAACTGGGTAAGTGTGGCATACAAAAAGACTTGAAATTCGAATAAGGAATCATATCTATGAGTTGACGATTGTATTTCTAAGCATCGAAATCCAATACTCAAAAAATGTAGATCGCACTTTACGTACAACGAAACATTGTATTTGTTTTCCGTCAGCGCTAATTTTTTCTGATCCTGACTTTCTAAGTCACTATTAAAAATGAAACTCTACTCCATTCCATTTTCAACTTAGATTGATATTCGAAACCCGTCGACACTTTATGATCAGTCCAGAGTGCACTAAGTATTCAGTAATATGATCGAAAAACAGGCATCTGATAACAAAAATATCGAAAGCACAACATAAATAAAATAAGAGTCAACTCACGCATTCTGTATCGAATAAGATAGCAATGAATAGACATCAGATAATTGCTACTTTTCAATTATGGAAACATACTCGAAATAATCTGGATGCCTATCAGTCACATCTCACCTAAGACAACGCTTTCTGATCTCTCCAAGCCCGTATTATCGTGATAACCGATACTGCATTAGTGCAATGCTTACTTTTGTTTCTGAATTGAATGCTCATGAAATAGTACAAATTGATAACGTCAGAAAACTTAACTCTATCTAAAGACGACTGTAACTAACACACTTGTTACTTAGCTCTAGACACATTCTCAGAGAAGATGCTGCATCCCTTTAGTCTTCGACGTTATTCTCACAACAGTTGAGTGTGGTGATAGTTTCTGCGGAAAGTACAGATGATAAAGAGAGAGATAAATGTGAAGAATGATATATCACAATATTGTTTGTGAAAAAAATAAAAATAATCGGTGAAGATTGACACAAGTGGAAATGGAGTAAACAACAAAATAAACAAATGATTCATTGACTAAGAAGGATGGCATGTAAGCTAGTATTACCTTCCGCCTCAATAACCCACTGATCTGCAATTTTGACACAGAATATTGGGCTCCACCGTCTTTAACTGCAATGAAAATAAATGCTTCCGTGTTCTGTTTCATGAAGGAATAGAAAAAATAAAGATAGCTAGTATGCAACGACAACTGTTCGATTGAGTATTTCGATTGGAAATTCATCATTGGAAGATTAGAAATTTGACATTATTCAAAATACATTTGAACATTACGATCATAGTGATACCCAGAATCACCAGTACCATGATTATAAGAACTCACAATCGAAACTAAAAGATGACGGCCATGACTATGACGATCAACATCATGACTTTCGACTCTCAGAAAAATATTGACTTCAACATATGAGATTACGAAAGAAAATCAGTTCTTCTTTATAAGAAGAGAAAAGTTAGACTGCTATTTCATTTCACAATGTGATTATGGATGCTGATGAAGTATGCAAGCGAGAAGAGAGAGTCTGCAGTGTGCATATCAACAATGATTATGGTAAGGAGATGATGACTGCTTGAAGTGGTTCTTTTCTCCATGCTGTACGGCATTACCGCACTGCATCACCAATATTGAGTCCACTCCAGTTTAAATTAGACACTCATGAATCATTATGAAAGAAAATCTTTTCCATTCAATCAAATAAAACGCAACCAATGTACAGATCAGTGTTTGCTATGATCAAATGGTATCATGTCAATGAAAGATATTCTTGTATGTTGTCATTTCATGAAAAATACTGTGGAAAAAATTTCATACTTATCATTATTATGAGATCTGTGAATCAAATATATCAAGTCTTTGATCAAAATATAGTCAATCACGACATGTGTACAAGCAAATCAAACGTTGATAGTGTTAACTTCTTTCTCTTTTTCAGGAATTTCCGAGCATCGTGACGGATTACCTATAGAATGATATTTAATCTGTATGATAAACGAAATTTTGCCAAACATTTCAGTGTAATTGTAGTTTCGACCACATGATGTGAATATTTTAAATAGCTGATATGTATTGGAGATTCTGTTTAATTATTTTGAGATGGATGGATCTGAAAGTCGGTCAGACGAGTTATTCGATAAAATAATGATTGTTTCTTGTTCCACTCATTGTTGAAGGAACTCTCTCAAATGAACAAAATGAATGGTTCTCATATACGAATTTTATCTTGCCAACCATGCATGCTTCAGACTTGTTCTCAATTTCATAGTCGTCATTAACATTCTCCACAATAATCTTTCATTTTCCATTTTCGCATCAGTCGTTTGATAAGCGTACCGTTCTGTTGGATCATTGTTGCCAATTTGAAATCGATGTAGCAGATGCTCAATATGATATGAGTTTGATCCCATCAAGAACGCTTCTTCAATTATGATACTTTCAACGACCGAATAACGAATCTATTCAACTGTCTGTGATTCTAAGCAAGGGTCGAAATTCGACAACTACATCAGTTATATTGGTGTCGAAGCGTTTTCAAATACTGAAGTTTGTCAGACCATTAAGTATCGCTTTGTCTGCCTAGTATCACACAAATAAAGGGCTACGCTAGGTTGATGCACCTTTCACGTTGAACGTAAACAATGTTTGAGTCAAATCGGGTAATGCACACAACATTCATTCAAATTGAACACGATGTTTGATGTTCGACGGCCACGAATGTTTGTGATGTTCTCTAGTTCTAGAAGATACATTCGAGTCATTTCTTGATCTATGGATAGATGTGATTATGCTCATGCATTGTATCAGTATCTTGCAAAAATTTAGTCCTGTATCATTTTGTGTCATTCACACCTTCTCCGCACTTAACCAAAATTCCATATCTGACGAGAAAACATATCCAACTGTCGGACGCCATTCGACCTTCAGCTTTTGGCCGTGATCACAGGGCTCAGCAAGACTAAGAAAACCCTGAAGAAATTCGTGCCCATGGCGCACTTGGAAGGAGATCTTATTGTCACATAGGTGTAAGAAAATGGAATGTTGGATGTGAATATCGGTATCAGTAAAAGAGAACACATCTACACCCGCACCCACACCAAACACCTCTGATGGCAATGACACCCCTGCCCAGACACACTATGGGCACAAACTCTTTTATTTTAGTGATAATACAGTCTGTACGGAGACCGTATCGTTTGACCTGGGAACAACTGAAATTGAATTTAACTGATTTTTAACTTCGATTTTATATTCGCAAATGAGAAGACACGTATTCGTGCATCTATCGTAATTAATTACATACGTAACGAACATCTCGGGACGAATTCTCCGATCACCCTCGTTGCATGTCGTTCAATCACCATAGACAAAAAAATTTCTGAATGAACAAAAGCTGCATCTTTACATGTGCTGTTTGTAATGATGTCAAACTCTTTTTCCTTTGTTACAAGATAGCCTTCGATCTCATCCCTCAGTTGGAAAGAAAAAAAAATATGAGAGAAGAACAGAAAAAGATGATAAAGTAAAAAAAGAAAGAAAAAGACTGGAATGTTAACGATAAAACACGAATATTCGAGAATATTCACGATAACTCTTCAATTTTCTACTCTCTCATAACCAGTCCTATAAATACGTGCGTCTATATGCTTTATAAACAGATCATTTTAACGCTTAATTTCGATTATAATAAGCTTTCTCAACAATAATTTCTTCAATTTAAACAATGGCATTCTTTCCAATCCATCATTATCGTCTTTACGATAATCCAATTGATCGATTCTTTGGTGATCAACTAGATTTCTTTGATCCATGGTATGATTTAAATACCTCACCAAAAGCTGTCGTCATAGTTCCAAATACTTTTCGATGGATTAATGAACCAGAACAATTAATACAATCATCATACAATACACAAACAAGTGACATAAATACGAATAAGATAAAAAGAGCACCTAATTTGGAAAAATTTCGAGTTCAACTTAATGTAGCTGGATTCAATCCAGAAACAATTAAAACAAAAGTTGAAGGTCGAAAAGTAATTATTGAAGCTAAACAAGAAGAACGTCATCCTGATGGTGATTATAATATTCGAGAATTAAGAAAATCATATATATTACCTGAATATGCTGGTAAGTAAGAATTTATTTTCTAGAAAACATTGATATTTATATTTTTGATTTGTATATAGATGTAAATCGTTTAGCATCATATGTAACACCAAATAAAATGTTAGTTATTGAAGTTCCAATCCATAATCCAGAAGTAGAACGTCGAGTTGCTCAAGCAAAGAATGAAAATCAAAATTTAGCTCAATTTGGTCAATATCGAGATCCACATTTTGATTATAGTAATTTCTTGCATGGTTCAGATTTTCAACCACGAATTGTTGATAAAGGTGATAATAAAAAACAACTTGAAATGTCTATTGAAATGAAAAATTATAAACCAGAAGAAATTAAAGTATCAATAAAGAATAATGAATTGATTGTTAAAGGTGAACATCGACATAAAGGTGATAATAGTTTTGAACGATCATTCTTTTTCAAATCAACAACATTACCACCAGGTACACAAGTTGAACAAACTCAATCATATTTTACTGATGGTGGTCAATTGAAAATAGAAGCACCATATGTTGAACAAAAAGAAGCTACAAAATCTGTTGAACAGAAAGAAGCTGTGAAACCTGTTGAAGAACAAAAAAAATAATGTCATAGATAAAACTGTCCGAGATATTGTCATATTGCTTTTTTTATTGTAGTTATTGTCCGGTATTAGATTTTATTTCTTCTAAATAAATAAAAAGATGTTGCAATAACGTATCTTGAAATATGTTTTCGTATTCGTTTAACATCATGGATTAACTTTACCTAATGGACATGTGCGTGATTTCAGAGTCAACGCGAACCCAGTATTGATAAGACGGTTAAAATCATCATTGTTCATGAAAAGGCTAGTTTTGTAAAGGTTACCACGCCGCGGTAGTATAATGGTAGTACATCCGGTTGTGGTCCGGATAACGCAGGTTCGATTCCTGCCCGTGGCATATGAATTTTTTTTTGCTAAGAATTATCAATCAGACGAAATATCCTCGACAACAAAACAATAAGCAGTGTACCATGAATTGGACATCAATCGAATAATAGTTGATTGTTTAATTACAACAATTTTTAGACAGCAACGCATGACAAAATTTAGTAGAATCTTCTTTCAAACTATTAGGACAAAGTCGAAAACACTGTGATCATTCTTTATTTATTGTGTTAGATCAAATTTTCTATAGCAAAGCAATGATATGATCTCACAGTCTATGTTTGCAAATAATAATTTATAATAAAAAGAACGAGTTATGCTACCAAAATCAAATCTTTTTTTTTATCCGAGGAATGTAATGGAAATTTCGAAAAAGAAAATCAGCAAAAACGGTGATTACTTGATAAGTTAACATGCACTAAGGTTCATTTCGCGAGTTTATCACTGTCATAATAGAACTGCCGAGCTATATAAAACACTTTTGAATCAAAATTCTCATTTGTAGAAGGTTTTCTCGCCGCGGTAGTATAATGGTAGTACATCCGGTTGTGGTCCGGATAACGCAGGTTCGATTCCTGCCCGTGGCATATAAAATTTTTTTTAGAAAGATTATCGAATAGAAAAAACGAAAAAGCAAAGACACTCAATTTTTCAAGATGAACACGAGTGTAATAATTATTATTTTATTATCTTTGTTTTAATGTTTAGTCTTTCAAAGCTCCGGGTTTTTTTTTCGAAGACTTAGAGACAAGATTATTACTAAGAACAGCACGTCAGTTGGTTAGAATTTTCAACTGCCAAAGTTATGTTAAGTTACTATCTTGACTATTTATTTTACTATGATTAAAACTTATTGACTTCAAGTAAACTGACATATTATGTCTATTTAGAACTAAATGTTTTCTATTTCTCAATAAGATCACATTATAAAGATTCAAAATAGAACATAGGTTTCTTTGTTTCGTTATTATTGTATTCTTGTGACTAAATCTTTTATTCTTTTTTTGAATTTAATGTTAAAGAACATTTTGTTTTAATTATGATAAATATTTTTCTGTAGTAAAAGAAAAAATATTTCATATATATTAAATAACATTATTTTCGTTTTATTTCGGCTAACGAAAATCTTTTGTTGAATTATTTTCAAAAGCCATTTTACTAATAATAGATATAAATCATTTTCTTATTCTTTTTCTTTTTTCTGACAACAAAAACAAGAAGATTAAAAATTAATCGATCATACACAAACGATATTATTGTTATTAATGATATTACATATTCTTCTTTTATTATTGTTGTCATTTTGTTTAATTTATCGTGGTCGGACTTCGAATACTCGAATTTGTTTGTCCGTAAAACCAGCAAACAATGTTTGACCATCAGCAGACCATGCCAATGATGTACATTGTTTTTCGGATTTAACTTCATCGGCCACTGTTTTTGTTTCCAAATCCCAAATTTTAATAGATGTTCCACTTGCTAAAAGAAAAATCAATTCAATTTATATATATATATATTCAATGATTTTTTTTTCTTGTGTACCTGCACATAGCCAATATCGATTAGGTGAAAAACATAAAGCATTAATAATATCACCACTATCAAGTGTATATAAATGTTTTCCATCATTAAGATCCCATAACATAGCTTGACCATCACGACCACCACTTGCACATAATGAACCATCAGGTGATACTGTTACAGTATTTATATATGAATTATGACCATAATGATTTGTACGTAATTTGCAATTGGTTAAATTCCAAACCTTTTATGATAATTAAAAGCAAAAAAAAAAGATTTTTGTTTTTTTCTATTAAAAATTTTCATATCTTACTTTAACAAGTTTATCCCAACCAGCTGAAACAATAAGTGGATCTTTTTGATTAGGACTAAAACGTACACATGAAACCCAATCAGTATGATTATCATCAACAATTGTATATTTGCCTAAATTAAAAAAAAAAATAATGTTTTTTTTTTGCTAATTTCAAAACTCGAATTGTTTTACATTGTCCAACTGTATTCCATAATTTAATTGTTTTATCACGACTACCACTAACAATTTGTCGATTATCGGCCGAAAAAGCAACACTTAAAACATCCTTTTTATGACTAACAAATTGTCGTGTACTTGTACCAACTGATAAATCCCAAAGACGAAGTGATCCATCCCATGAACCACTAACAGCAAAAAGACCATCACTTGATATAACAACATCAGAAACAAAATGTGAATGACCACGTAATGCTTTACTTGGTGCACCACATGATGTTGTTTCACCAGTTGGATCATGTTGATTATTTAATTGCCATATTATAATTGATTTATCCCGTGATGACGAAAGGACAATATCGGGAAATTGAGGTGTTGTTGCGATTTGTGTAACCCAATCATTGTGACCAACAAGAGCGCCTTTTAGAACAAGATGTTCGTTGGACATAATTTTTTTCTGTTGGAAAGAAAAATCTAGAATACAAAGACAAAATTTCTTAATTGAATTTTCTAAAATAAAAAAAAAAGAAACTAAATTTAAATTACACTAGTCAACAGAACAAATAAACAAAATATTTCTTATTTTATTTTACATACGAAAGGTATGATGGTCATTTAACCAATGAACATTTTAAACAAATGAGATCGAACGATCGAGTTGAAGATTTATTTTTAATATATTAAAAATTATTTTAAAAAGATTTTATTTAAAAAAATTTGTCATGTTTTTGTAATTTGATATTAGAAAAAAAAAATTTTATTGAAATTTTCATTTTCACTAGATGTCGTTTGTATATGATGGTTTTTCGTTGACAAACAAAAAATAATTCTATGATTTTATTGAATCACATAACATTAAAAAAATTTGTGCTCATATCAATGATTTTAGCTTTCAGAAATGAGTAGAAAAATAATCGAAAAATTCTATTTAGATTAGTACTAACTTTTTACGAGACAACTAAATCACGTTCGCACAAAACAAAATATTCATTTAAAATTTAACAATGCGAGTATCATCTGTTGCTATCTGACAATTAAAACATGATCTAAGATTAATATTAATTGTGTTATCAACATTTCTTAGCACTTCGATATTGTATAATTCACTTTTCTTTTGTAGTTCGAAATTACAGCAGTGTCCAGTTGGAAGAAATTTTTGATATTTTCTCTACATTTATGATCCTACTCTACTAAGAATATAGTTTTTTTTGGCAACAAATTGCCATAAAACTCTATATATCATAACAGAAACTATAAATATAGAGGATGGGGTGTGAGTGTGCCTGTGAATCTTCTCATCCAATTATACTACTTAGTACATTCAAACCTACGTTATAAATCTTAATATTAGTCAGATTTTACTTAGAGTGAGAAACATAAATGTAGAGTTTTAGAGTCATCAATATGGAGGAGACAATCACAAATGGTGAACTTTTTCGAATTTAACATCCCTCCAGACAGGAATGGGACCAAAACGAACACTTTTTCATTGGAAGTGATGTTTTTTTTTACAGTCTTGTTAAACTTGCATCAAATGTCATATTGTCATGGCTTATGTTTTCTAAAAGTTTATGTGAAAATTATTGTGTAACGATCACTTCAATATATGCTGTTACAATTTTGACAGTAAAATTAATTCCTTTTTTTCTTCGTAAACAACAGAGTTGGCGAATACATCAACGTGCAGAATGGATGAAGTATTAGTGAATTAAAAATAGTGATGATGAACCTCCAAGATGGAGGATCTTAGAAGTCATATGAGTTATTGTATGAAAATTGTATCAGCACTTGTTGATTTTTGTTTCAAGGTCTTTGAAAGTGAAATTCAAACAAATGAACCTATTAAATTATGTACATATACAAACTTTACATGAGTATTTGTTCAGTTTATCGGTGATACATGAATGTGAGAATAGAGAATTTGCTCAATGAATATATGAAAACCTTGAATTACTAAATCAAATAGTATCAATTGAAATACTGAAAATATATCGAAAAAATGTTTGATGAACTTTTCATTTCTTGATAAATATGAATCTGTGAATAAAAATTTAACAATTTCATTTGATAAAAATTTTCATAGATCTCTAAATAAATAAATTTAATAATTCATCAAGATTTAAAATAACATGATTTTTATCAATATCTTTATGTTCATTTAATAAAATATTCTTTGATTTTTCATCTTTACTAAGTAATAAAACATGACAATTTGCTGCTTGTGCTGCATGATAATCAAGTTTAATATCATCACCTATATGACATAGATTATTATTTGATTGAATATTTGCTAAATTTGTAGCATAAGAAAAAATTTCTTTTTGTGGTTTATATAATCCACAATTTCGTGGTGTTAAAATAAATTGAAAATATTGTCGAAGATTATGTTGTTCAAGAAGTGATTCAAGACGTTCATCAAAATTTGATATAATACCAAGTATTTTTTTTTGTTTTAATTTTTTTAAAATATAATCTGCTTGTAAATTTTTTATCCACATATAACCTTGAGCAAATTCATCATAAATTATTTTACTTAATTTTTCAATTTGTATTGATGATAATTGATAATCTTTAAATGTATATTCAATTATTAATGTCCACCATTGACGAGATGATATATTTGTATGAACACCATAACCTGGATGAATTTTATTTAATGTTCGAAAAGCTTGAATAAAAT